GAGAGAGAGAGATAGAAACATCAATGATGAGAGAGTCACTGATCGAGCCCGCAACCCGGGCATGTGCCCTGACCAGGAATTAAACCCCGATCGCCTGGATCCTAGGTCGACGCTCAACCGCTGAGCCATGCCCGGCCGGGCTGGAGTTTACTTCTTAAATACAGCTCCCAAATTCAGAACTTCTTCCCAGTCCCAGAGCCACCACTCTGGTTCAGGCTCCAGTCACTTCTCCCCGCTGTCCTGTGCCCACGGGGAGTACAGCCTTCTGGTACCTGGCCTTTCTGCCTCCAGCCTTGACCCTTCCACCCCCCTTCACATTACAGAGCAACGCCGGTCAAGAGTGAATCTCATCACCTCGTCCTTCAGATTCAGATACCTCAGGGCTCTGAGGACAGCAGAGGGTTACTGAGGCATTTTAACCAAGCAGGATGATGCAATTCAAAGAACAAATAGCATGACCATGACCACAGCAGAAGACCTGCAGTTCTCTACGTTTTCTGACAAACAAGAATGAATTTTCCCAGTTACAAATTCTCACTAAAGGAATATTAACAGATGTATTTCAGAATGAAGAAAACTGAAACTAGAAAGGAGATGCAAGAAGGACTTGTGCCTGAAAAATGTGGGTAAAGAGAAACAATCAGTGACTGTATGAAACATCGTGATTTAGGGAGCAACAAAAACAAGGTAGGACTGAGGTTGTGCATAAGAACACGGTGGAGCTCAGGTGTTCTAAGGTCTTTGTATATTTCACAGGGAGGTAAAAATATGGACTAACTTAAAACAATAATCATAAAATAATAACAGAATGTAAAATTTTCAAACTACATAGTAGAGGAGGGAGAAAAATAAAGCCTTGAAGGCAAGAAAGGAAGAAAAAAGGAAGTATAGAGAGAAAAATAGAAAACACAAAATAAGATGGAGAAAATAAAAGTAAATATAATAATAAACATAATAAATGAAAATGAACTCAATCCAACAGTTAAAAGAGATGATCAGATTGGATTAAAACATCCAGTTTAGCCTTGGCTGGTGTGGCTCAGTGGTTAGAGTGTCAGCCCGCACACTGGGCACATACATGGGTTGTAGGTTTGATACCTGGCCCGGGTTGAGGCATGTGTGGGAGGCAACCAGTTGATGTGTTTCTCTCACATCGATGTTTCTCTCTCTCTCTCTCTCCTCCCGCCCCCCTTCCACTCTCTAAAAATCAATGGAAAAAATATTCTTGAGTATTAACAACAAAAAGTCCAGTTTAGGCTTAAGTACAAATAAAGGCTGACTATAAGAGGATAGATATGTAGGAAAATATTAACCAGAAGAAAGCTGGCTAACTATAATAATAACATCAGGTAAAATAGAGTGGGGAGGAATATGTGGGATAAAGAAGACCCCTATATAATGATAGTTGAAAACAATCTCCAGAATATTTTCGGTTATGTGCACCTAATAACATGGCCTCACAATATCTAAACAGAATCAAGAAGCTTGATCTGTGATCAACATATATAGAACCTGTACCCAACAACCAGAGACTACACAGCATTCCAAGCACATAGAAAACATTTGTAAAAATTGATCTGTACTAAGCTACAAATCTTCACCAATATCAAAGAATCAAAATCACAGTCCACATTCTTTAACTACAGATGCAAATAAGGTAGAAATCATCCACAAAAAGTAAGCGGAAAGACCACTGTTAGAAAATGAGGAGTAGCTGGGGGCCTGGTGGAAGCAGGGAGAGCAACTCAGAGTCCAAGCAGTGGGTGGGCGAGGTGGGTGGGACGAAGGTGAGACGGAGAGAAGTGCTCTGACTGTTTTGTGTGAGCGAGGTGGGTGGGACGAAGGTGAGACGGAGAGAAGTGCTCTGACTGTTTTGTTTGGTCATGTCCACCCAGCACCTACCAGTGACAGGTACACAGTAATTACTAAAATCCAGGTTTTGGAGTGTGTGTTTTTAATCTTCACCCAAGGATATGGCTTTTTCTCTTAATTGATTTGAGAGAGCGAGGAAGGGGAAGAGAGAGGAACATCAATGCGAGATAGAAACATCAATCAGTGGCCAGGGATTGAGCCCACAACCTAGTGTATATGCCCTGACCAGGAATCAGATCCACAACCTTTTGGTGTATGGGACGATGCTCCAAACTACTAACCCACCCTTAAAATCCAGGCTTTGAAAAATTTTTTTTAAAAGCTAAATAAATGCTAGTTGAACATGTGGAAATTAAGTTAAGCTTCTCCCTTCCTGTGGTCTCCCATGATCACAAACGCCTCACCTCCCTGGACCCCAGCCCTGGGTGTGTCTCCTCCCTAAATCTCCTTGTCTAACATCCCTGCCCTTGTGGCTCACTATTATTATTTTAAGTATTTTTATTGATATTTAGAGAGAGAGGAAGAGAGAGGGAGAGAGAGGAACATAGACGCGAGACCAAAGTATGGATCGTCTGCCTCCTGCACGCCCCCTGCCAGGGATTGAGCGACTCCCAACCAACTGAGCCATACTGGCCAGGGCATGGTTCCTTATTTTTTAAAATGTTTTTATGGGATGCCTAATATAAGACTATACTAAATATTTCCACACCTGTTATCTCATTAAAAACACCCCCAAAACTGTAAATTCCCTGTAAGCTCCATTGCTACAGATGAGGAAAGCGGCCGAGCTCAGACAGGTTAAGTACCTCCCTTAAGGTCCTCATCTCCTAGCCCCTCACCTGCCTTCCTCGATTTTCTCACTCCCTTAGAGGGGGTATGGTGCCGTGGTGCACCGATTAAGGGCACCTATTCAAATCCCAGGTCTGTGACTCATCAGCTGTGGGTCCTAGTGTGAGTTCCTTAACTGTTCCATACCTCAGTCTGTCCACACGTAAAATGGGGATTATGCTCACATCAATACCACAGAGGGTTGTTATGAGAACTAAATGAGTTAATATATATGAAGTGCTTGGAAGGGAGCCAGACATGGTATGTATAGTAAACTTTTAATAAATAGTAGTTGTTTAGTATTACTTACCTGTTTAAAGAATCAGTTATGACTCTCAAATAATGAGGCAAAATGGGGCAAATTAAGTAAAATTGAACCATAAAAGTGGGCAGACATAGACTGCCTTCAACTAGATATTGTGGCCACTCACTAACCATTCACCTAAAAGGCCTGATTTGCCTGTCTCAAGTGACTCAGACAACCACAGGTTCTAGAGAATCCCTGTAAGACTGTTGTTGGGATCCACGGCACAAGCCTCCACCTTGATCACCTGATCTGGACCATGATTTCTCAACCTCATGACCATTCCCATTCGAGGCTGGGTATTTCTTTATTGTGAGAATCTATCCTGTGCACTGCAGAAAGTTTAGCAGCATCCCTGGCCTCTATCCACTAGATGCCAGTAGCACACTCACCCCATCCCACCCCACCCCCAGTTGTGACAAGCAAAATGTCTCTAGATAGAACCAAATATTCCCTGGGTGACAAATCATCCCCAGGTAAAAGCCACTGCTCTAGTCTTCAAAACTGAAACTTTTCTAGTGGGATCCAAAGCAGACCCCCCTCCTCCCATGTGCAGTTCCAGAGGCTGTTATAAAATAGCCTGTGACCAGGATCCAATAAGGGAGGATGATGGAAATAGATTATGCAGGACGTCCCACAGCCCTACGTTTACCCCCCACGCGTGGTACTGAGGCTGGAAGGCAGGATGCACAGAGGCCATTTTAATCTTGGCTGATGAAAAGGAGCTATGAGGAAATTTAAATGTGTATTTCAAATGCTCTGCCTCCAGAAGCCAAATGCTGTAGCATTTGTAATGGGCAGAGCGTTTACATGGAGCTTTCGCCTTCAAATCGCCAAGCCTTCAGCCTCCGCTAATATTCTCAAGGGGCACGGTTGGCCCTCTTCCATCTTCAAGATGATTCAGGTTTCCTGGAGAACACAATGAGCCTCTAATGCCCAATATTTCCTCCCTGACAGATGGTTTCAGATGTATCAAAGTGCTAATCCTTGCTGAGGTATAGGTCTCAAGGAAGGAGAGTTTGGCTTTTAGTATGATAGGACTTGAATGATTAAGGAGGAAAATTACTCCCCGGATATTCACCATTGTCATGTGAGCAACCAGCTTAAAATGAAGACGGCAGAATCTGAAAAAAGATTAGAGAAAAGAGAGGAAAAATCTAAAAAAACCCAGGTTAACAGTTTAGGTGTTTAGGTTTGAAACATTTCCGCCCAAAGACATCTCTGGGAGTGGAAATGAAGTTGCCAATAAAATCACCTTCAAGCTCAGGAAGATTAGGGTTCAATCGGCCTCCCCCCGTCACCATTCCCAGCTGCAGTGTGTGGAAGCTCTGGAGGCAGGGGCCTGGGTCGGAATATTTGCCTCGCCACTTACTAGCTGTGTGACCTTGGGCATGTTCTAGAGCCTCTGAGCCTCAGTTTCCCCACCTGTATAGTGGGTAATAATACCTACCTCAAAACGAGGTTGTGGAAATTGAACCATCCAATGTATGCATAACCTGATGTATGATAAGCATTCAGTTAATGTTAACTGTAAGTATGAACTAGCATTTGGTGTCGACCTACTATGTGCAGGCCACTTTCATTACCACCTTTGAGGGTCAAGGGAGGCTAGAGGGGTGGATTTCAGATATCATAGAACTAGTTATCCGCTCAGGATTGGAGAGATGGAGGCATTCGTCTACGGTCACAGAGCTGCACACGGCAGAATTCAGACCCAGGTCAGCCCGACCCCGGGGTCGAGATCTTTCCGGGTCCCCACGTGGAGTTACGGGGTCACCGCAAGCGGACAGAGGTCACTCACTGTATTCCTCCAGCCGCATCAGGGGCCGGAAGTAGATGGGGTAGAAGGCGGCGCCGACCAGGGAGATGAAGCCGCCGAAAATGAGCGCGGTGCGCAGGTTCTGGGACATGGCGCCCGCGGGAGCTGCCCTGACCGGCCCGGAGCCCCGCGACTCGGGATCCCGCTGCAGCCGCCGGGTCCCGACCCGGCTCGGAAGAGGCGGAGCCGCTTTCGCTTCC